CAAACAGCAGACCTTCTTATACTGTTAAGATCAAAAGACTGGCAGTTATCGAAATGTCCTTCAGGCGGGACTGGTTCTGTAAATTCAATGTGCGCACATAACTGCAATACCATTCAGCCAGAAAAACCAGAGCAGCTCTTCCCATACTGAGAGAGCAAACGATCTCCAAGTGATATTGTTTAAAGACAAAAGCCAAGTGCACAGCAATGTGAGTGCCACTCCACTGCGTATGTAAAAGAAAAAGGAGGGGAGAATACAGATGTATTTGCTATTATCCACATAAATGTGCTCTTGAAGGATATGCAGGGAACCAAGGACACGGGGAAGCTTATCCCACTCGAATGGGTGTTGCCTACTGAAATAAGGAAGGTTCTAAAAACCCGGAGCTTACTCTAGTTATCTAATTTAATCAGGTTTGACCTATGTTCACGCTAGAATCACTAATTTTGATTTTTTTTTTTAATCAAACTATAGAAAAGCAAGGCTATGACTTCACTGTCTGAGATCAGGAACCATCTGTGGACAAGAATGACATATTAGCTTTTGATTTGAGACATGCTTGAACCAAAAAAGGAACTCAGAGCTATATTGGTGACTAGTTTCACGAGAGCCTTCGTGAAAAGACAAGTGTCCTGTATTACTGCAGTTGTCAGTTTTAAGGACTTTAGAAGCGTAAATGCTACAAGCTTACAAAAATCATTGACAGCTTAAATTTCTTTTATACTTACCTGTTTTGTGGATTTTGCATAATACATCTTTAACCTTTTGTTTTAGTCAGTGTTTGTCATCTTCAATCAGAGAACTAAAACAATGAAAATATTAAGTTTTCAAAGAATGCTTTTTGTAAGTTTGTAGCATTTGTGCTTTTGAAATGCATCCAGACCTCTGGTGGCCTGTGTGCTGGTCATAGGAAGTGCCTGGGAGGGCCAGGGTGTGTGTGGGAGAGTGGGAGGTGCGGGCCCTTATGCATTGTACCAGTTCCTCCATTTTCTGACCAGACGAAACATATGAAATGCCCCCGGACAGCACCATCAGAGACGCTATTTTGTCAAGACGGCCGACTGCGCTCGGGGAAGAAAGCTGGCTTTAACAAATCACAGTTAGAAGACAAATGTGATGAACAAACAGACGAGAGAAAACGGCTACCTTTTCAACGTCGTCAGCATAAGCAGAAAGACCTGGCTGCAGTGCTTTGAAGGTTTCATGGGTCAAGGTGGGAGTCTCTGAGGAAAAAACATTTTTTAAAAAAGGTACAGCTATGAATGTATAGAAATATGAATTTACAAATATATAAATCTATACGACTGGGATTAGCCACACTTTTAAAGGCCAATCTGAAAACAGATGGGTCCCAGAGGGACAGGAGCCCTGTCCATGATTCTCATCTAAATTCTGACACTAGTTTGGCTAAATAAGATGAATATTATACCTAACGTTTTGGCCAGAACTTTACCTTTAAAATAAATAACTTTATTCAGGTATAATTTGCATACAAAAAACTCCATTTAAGGTTAATTCTTGTTGATTCAATAAATAGAGGAGCAGGGCAGATGATTTTGCAGTTTTTCAAACTGCAAAAATGAAAGTCATTTCCTTGATTCTGGGGTGGATGCATTATGGGATTCTAAAAGTATCTGCTTTCTTCTGTTTTAAAAATTGAGTGTTTTAAATATTTAGGAGGCTGGGCTCCTGCGCACACAGCAGGGTGAGCATTCAGAGCATACAGTGGCCAGGGGATGCTGGTCTAAATTCAGACACGGAGACCCAGGAGGAAAAATCAGAAACAAAACTTTTGTAAGTATTAAATAATGGAATGTCGCTATTAACGGATTCCATGCGACATGTGTAGTCTTAAACTCAGCTCCAAAATCATTTTTGGAGGTAGAGAGGACCAGCACGTAAATATGTATTTAACTTGCAAGAAGTTTAGAAGCAACGCAGATGAAAAGTAAATAAAATATGCCATGATGGCTTTGGAGGGCTACTCAGGGTGTCTGCATCACCTGCTCAGTTAAATGCACAAAATGGCATCGACTCAAAAGGCATTGAAAGTGAGCAAAGAAGCAGAGTAGAGAGGAGAGGAACCCGGCTTGACCAATGCGCCTGCTGAACAGTCAGCAGAAACACTGGCTACAGGCTGGAGAGGAATCCTCAGAGCCAATGGGCACAGAGAGGTGCTGGGAAAGGAGGTCAAAGGGAGGAGGAACAGGGTGAGGGGCTGGGCAGTGGTGGGGTCTCCCTATAGGAGAAGCCAGTGAGTGACGATGCCTAAGCCCCTCCTCTGGGAAGCAAAGCTCGCAGGCTCTGGCTCCAGCTCCACTCTCACTGCCAAGGCCATGGCCCCACTGGCAGCTCTGTGTTGGGCTGGGTTCTGGGTCTTTCCAATTATCTGACCATCCTAGACTCCTAGCTCCACTGGCCTGAATCTGGGGTTACTTCCTGCCTTAAATTCACGAATAAGATGTCTGGCCTAAGTCATGGTCCCAGCCACTTGACCTGCCTGTGCATGCTGGGAGGGGACAGGCCACCAAACACCCTCTGGGATCTCAGTTGCCCTTAGCTGGTAACCAGATGCTAGTACAAGTAAGAATATTCTGGGACTCCTGGGAAATGTAGATTCCTGGGTGCCAACCCATACTCTGAGTCAGCATCACTGGGACACTGCCTTTTTGACAAGCTCCCAGGTGAGTCTAAGGCAGGGAGTCTAGCCCATACCCCGAGAAACCACTGCCTTTAAGGGAGGGGGGGGGGTGATCCCAAGGGCTCTGCTGGGAGAGAAGGAGAAAAAGCAGCACGTAGCAGGGCTTTCTGCTGGGCGGGATACCTCCAGGCTGCCAGGTGAGTTGAAAGATATGTACTCGAGTGCCAGTGCTTCCCGCGTCAAACATGATGCCATAGAAGACCTTGTGACCACGTGCAGTCGTCCCCGGGGCATCCCGAGTCTGGTGGCCCCTGTGGGCCCCCGAGGCTGCCTCCGTGATGCTGAAGAAGGCCTGGGTGGCGAAGACCCAGTGCCACTTGATGTAGGCGATGTAGATGAACAGGCACACGAACAGCCCCAGCGGGTACGCCACCTTCATCATCTTCAGGTTCCCATTATTTGGTATTTTTCTCATTTCCTTGTCTGTGAGGACTGTGTGCTGGGAGAGGCAGGAAAAACACATTAGGCTGTGAACTTCCAGGACAAGTCGGAAATCCCTGTGCTCGGGGACAAAACATGGAGCCAAAACCTGGGCTGCGTTTTCTCCTGTGAATCAGAAGCTCCACTTGATTCTCAAAATGGTTCTGGAAGGTGTGATCCCTGTTTTACAGAAGAGGAGCTGAGGTTTATAAGACGAGGTGAGTTGTCCAAGGTTGTAGGTCCTGCAGGTGCTGACCTGGGGCACAGACCCATAGCCTGAGCATGCTTCCCTCTAAGTCAGTGGTTCCCAACCTTCCTAATGCCTCGACCCTTTAATACAGTTCCTCATGTTGTGGTGACCCCCAACCATAAAATTATTTTCGTTGCTACTTCATAACTGTAATTTTGCTACTGCTATGAATCGTAATGTAAATATCTGATATGCAGGATGTATTTCCATTGTTACAAATTGAACATAATTAAAGCATAGTGATTAATCACAAAAACAATATGTAATTATATATGTGTTTTCTGATGGTCTTAGGCGACCCCTGTGAAAGGGTCGTTTGACCCCCAAAGGGTCGTGACCCACAGGTTGGTGACCCACAAGTTGAGAACCACTGCTCTAAGTGCTGTTCCAGACAAACAGCTTAGGGACTCATTATATTTTATTTTTTTAAATATATTTTTATTGATTTCAGAGAGGAAGGGAGAGGCAGGGAGAGATAGAAGCATCAATGATGAGAGGGAATCATTGATTGGCTGCCTCCTCCACGTTGGCTGCCTCATTCTATTTTAAAAAGTCATGTATAAATGATGTCCCCAAACCTTTCAAGGTAACAGGAACATGTATCCAATCCGTTCTTCCACTTTTTCTCCCACACAGTAATTTACTTTCCAAAAGGGTTAAAATCTTGTCCTTTGGGAACTGAGAGCCCCAGACAAATTAGGGAATATGCTCGTTTTTGTTTCCCTGGAAAGCTCACAACACATACATCTTTTCATTCATGTAGCATATTCCTGCCAAGGAGGAAATCATGCCTGTGCGCTTTCAAAGGCTATGGAAGTTCTACCTGGGTAGCGAAATAAACTAATTCAGCACCATTAACTTTGATTCAATGCACCCCAAATAAAACACGTGTTCAAGTTTCATTAGCAGCTTCTAGTGCAGGGGTGGGCAACCCCTGGCACGCGTGCCAAACATGGCACGCCAGTAACTTTTGCTGGCACGCAAAACCCTCTCTTACAATCTTCCATTTACAATTTTTTTCTTAATATTGATTTTTTTATTTTTCAGATAAATTCAGTGTAGGTGCATCTTAGATAAATAAATAATTTTACATAACATGTATACATTAAAAAATAAACGTATTTTTCATCATCATATACTGTGTTTTTGTCGCTCGAATGAATTTTATTATTTCTTCAAGGTTCTTCACATACGTACACCTTAAGAGATATCAAGTAGCCCTAACCGGTTTGGCTCAGTGGATAGAGCGTCGGCCTGCGGACTGAAGGGTCCCAGGTTCGATTCCAGTCAAGGGCATGTACCTTGGTTGCGGGCACATACCCACTAGGGAGTGTGCAGGAGGCAGCTGATCGATGTTTCTCTCTCATCGATGTTTCTAACTCTCTATCCCTCTCCTTTCCTCTCTGTAAAAAATCAATAAAATATATTTTTAAAAAAAGATATCAAGTAGACATAACATGTTCTCATAAAATTAGGGTTGGCACGCAGAAGAATTTTGCGTCAGAGATTTTGCTGGTTTTGGCACGCACTCACAAAAAGGTTGCCCACCTCTGTTCTAGTGCAAGGCACCACGTGGGGACCTGACGCTTCCGAGGACAGGCAGTGAGGTGCCTCTCTCTCAAGGCTCCCGTGCCCTCAGGCAAAATCCACTGTCTGTCCATCATTCTCGGCCAGTTACGGTAAAAGGAATGGAAATTCCTAGGGGAAAGGAATAGGGAAGTGCCGGGTTGAAAACAGAATGTGTGTAGGCTGCCCGAAGCAGTGTGTGACCGTGGGCAAGTTACCCCCTTGCATGGGGCTGGTCTCCTCATCTGTAAGGTGGAGCTGCTCACGGGAAAGCCGCCTCTTGCTGCTGTTTCAGGACACAGAGGTGTGTAATGTGCTTAGAACAGGATACAGAGAACACAGATATGAATGCCGGCTCTGCAGAAGGGAGGCAGGAGAGGCAATGTCCCCCGGAACCAGGGACGGTGAGGGTAAGAGTGCTGGAGGGCGGGGGCTGCACTGTCTGGGGATGGGAAAGTGGGGGCCAGGGCCATCAGTGCAGGAGGCAAGCCTACAACGGCCTTCATGCCAACCTTGAGTGTGTCTTGGTGGAACCTTGGATCTCAAACTTAATTCGTTCGTTTGGGAAGCGATTTGTTCGAAAACTGGAACATTTCTCCCCATTAGAAATAATGTAAATTGAATGAATTCGTTCCAGACCCCCAACTGATTCTGTTTTAACCTTTCTTACATATAACATGTCTAATACAGTACTGTTTAATCTATAAACAAACACTTATTTTCTTAAATTTATCCAACCACCCCCTACCAGCCTTGAACGAATCACTTTTTAAAAAAATATGTATTTTATTGATTTTTTACAGAGAGGAAGGGAGAGGAATAGAGAGTTAGAAACATCAATGAGAGAGAAGCATCAATCAGCTGCCTCCTGGAATCGAACCTGGGACCCTTCGGTCCGCAGCCCGACGCTCTATCCACTGAGCCAAACCGGTTAGGGCTGAATGAATCACTTTTAACACTAGGGGTATCTCTCAGGAAGTCAGCATGCAGCTTATTCACTTTTTCATTTATCACGCCTCCGAAATGCTGTCACCAGCTAACTGCTTTTCCTTTATCCAAATCAACAACAGTTTTTTTAAACCTCTTTAATTGCCTGTGATCACTGTTTCTTTCACACTCTTAGCAACATTAGCACTCTTGATGGCCTCTTTTTGTTTTAAAATTGTAGTAACTATCCATTTTGCCAGCAACAAAAGCAGCCATGTATATGGGGGAACTGAAAATAGCACACACACAAACCTAGGGAAGATACATGCTCAGAAAAAATTCTAAGAACAGCTTAACCCCCCCCCCCCCCCCTTGCTGACCTTATGGCTCAGACACATCCTGCTAATTAGTGAAGGTCTTTCATGGCACAGAGCAAAGACAGGAAATCGGCTATTTTTCAAATGCTGAATTTTTCAAAAAGAAAAAAAATCACAAGGCATACAAAGACATAGGAAAACATGGCCCACTTAAAGAAATTGGTATAAACCATCCCTGAGGAAAAACAGGCATAGGATGTACTAGATAAAGACTTTAAAACAGCTCATTAAATATGTTGAAAGAGGTAAAGAAAACCCAAAGAACTAAAAAAAAATATTAGGAAAACAATATATGACAACAAAATGAGAATATCAACATAAAGATACAAATTGTAAAAAGAAATCAAACTCCAGGTCCCTAAACCAAGGGTTCCAGTACCAGGAAGAGAAGTCCCCATAACTTCTAGCTGTAAAAACCAGCAGGGACTGAAGCTGAGGGAGAGAGAGACGTGCTGGAGTCCCAGGAAGTTCCTCTTAAAAGGCCCATGCACAGACTTACATGGACTCACTCCCTGTGAGCTCCAGCACTAGGGCAGCAGCTTGAAAGGCACCAGAGACATATGAGGAGGAACAAAACTGTCAGGCATGAGGGTGAGAGCTGGAGGGGTGGGGGGTAGCTTTCTCCCAGGCAGAAGTGATGGCAGAGGCCACTGTTCCTTAGCTGAGCCCCTCCCCCACAGAACAGGCAGGTGGGTGCCATATCTGAGACTCCATCAACCTGGCTTACACTGTTTACCCTGCCCTGGTGGTTCCCTGATTCCTCACCCCACCCAACTTTCAGACCCACCCAAGCTATTTCCAGTGGCTTCCATACGAATGGTCTGTCTTGGCACATGTTTCAGATTTTCCTAAAATCTCTTAAACAAGCAGCATCTGTACCACTTGCTAAATGTCCCCAGGTCCGGCATTAGTAGCAACCAGCCTTGGTTCACAGCTTGGCCTCGCCTGGGCACTTCCAAGCTCAACAGAAGTAACAGCCACCTGCAGATGGCTTTGTTGCTCATGCCTGGTGGCCCCAGACAAAACACAGGTGGTGGCTGACCTGGGCCTGCACCTCCTGGGAGGTCTGAGCCAGCACACCCAGTGGACAGCTTCAAACCACTTCTAAATACCACCACCCAACCACCTCCATAAGTGACACACTCAAGGGGCAGACTATGTGGGCAGCAGAGGCCTGCTGAAGTAAGTCCTGCTCTGTGGGGTGGGCCCCTGCACAGCTGATTCTCCACAGTTAGGTTGGTGTTTGCAGCCAGTCTTTTCAGCTGATCAGCCTGGGGGTAGTCCCTCCTATTGACATGCCAACAGCAATTAAGGCTCAACTATAAGAGGAGGGTGTACATATCCCATGGGGGGGGGGGTGTGCACCTCAAGTGCCCAGCTTGGGTGATTAGGGAGGCTGTGCCACTGGACCCTACAGGACACCTACTGGTATTACATTAGGCCACTCTACCAAGCCTGGGAGACATAGCAGCTCTACCTAATACATAGAAACAAACCCAGGGAGGCTGTCAAAATGAGGAGACAAAGAAACACATCCCAAATAAAGAACAGAACAAAATTCCAGAAAAAGAGCTAAACAAAATGGAGACAAGCAATCTACTAGATGCAGAGTTCAAAACACTGAACTTAGTGAGAACTTCAATAGCATGAGAAAAGACCAGTCAGAAATTCAGGACACACTAACTGGAACAATGATTTTTAAAAACAACAACAAAAATACAAAAGTAAAATGAAAAAAGATTCCATGAAAATAGTAGTCAAAAGAGAGTAGTGATGGCTATACCATATCAGACAAAATAGACTTTAAGTCAAAAACTGTTATAAAAGACGAACATTATATAATGATTAAAGGGCCAGTTCAACATGAAGATAAAACAATTATAAACATATACACCAGAGCTCTTACATATATGAAGCAAACACAGAATTGAAAGTAGAAATAAACAGCTGTATAATAATAGTAGGAAACTTCAATGTCTCATTTTCAAGAAAGGACAGAAAAAATCAGACAATCAACAAGAAAATAGAGGATTTGAACAAAATTATAGTCCAATTGGATCTGACAGACATATACAGAGCACTCTACCCAATGAAAGAATACACATTTATCTCAAGAACACATGGTACATTCTCCAGCATAAATAATATGCTAAGCTACAAAATACATCTTAAGTTAAAAAGATAAAAATTAAACAAAGTATCTTTTCTGATCACAACTAGATATCAAAAGCAGAAGAAAAACTAGAAAATTCCTAAATACGTGGAAATTAAATAGCACATTCTTAAAGAACAAATGGGTCAAAGAAGAAATCAGAAGATAATTTAGAAACTACCTTGTGATAAGCGAAAATGAAAACACAATATACCAAAACTTATGAGATACAGTGCCAACAGGGAAATTTATAGCTGTAATTGCTTATATTAAGAGAGAAGAAAGATCTCAAACCAACAACCTAACTTTGCACCGTAGGGAACTAGATAAAGAACAAACTAAACACAAAGCTAGAAGGAGGAAAACAAAAATTAGAGCAGGATAAATAAAATAGGGAATGGGAAAAACATAGAGAACTCCTTGAACCCAAGAGTTGGTTCTTGGCAAAGACCAAAATAACACAAAATTTTAGTTAGACTAAGAAATAAGGAAAGAAGATTCAAATAACTAAAATCAGGAATAAAAAAGAAATCACTACTACTGATTTTATAGAATAAAAATGACTATAAGAGAGTACTAGGAACAACTGGATGCCAATAAATTGGATAACCTGGACGAACTGGACAAATTCCTTTAATGGCTCTGAGGCAAGACAGGTAACCGAAATGAGTTCTGTGATGTAGGGCTAAAGGCAGTGGTAGGGGAGGAAAATGAAGAGGGCTGGGCCTGCCCATTGTATCAAATTCAAACTGTTTTACTCTCTCAACAAAGGCAGCAGGTCATGTCTTGAGATTTTTCCTGCCTCAAATATTGTTTCTTCTAGCATCCTTTTCCTTCGGTCCTTTCTCCACAATGGCATCCTCTTCCTTTGGTTCTTTCCTCACGCCTCTGCAAAACCTACTCAGGATGCTTACTGCCACTCTGAATCCTGGCAGCTGGAGG